TTCCCACTGGATCCCAGAGGAAAACCAGAGCCTTGCACATCATCCCTGCAGCTTTGGAGGAAAACTGCACCTTGTGCAGGAGCCCTGCTCCAGCAGAACCACATCTGTCACTGCAGGAGGATGCAGCCACCATGGAATGGGACTGCACGAAGCCCTGACTGACTGACAGTGTCACGTTGTGTTCTCACTCTGGCAGTGTTTTTCTTTTGTACTATTGCATGCATTTTATTTTTTCTCTTTTTTCCTATTACTGACTTGGGAGTCTCTCACTGGTTTTGCTTTCAGTACAACAGGGCATGCAATATCTCACTTATCAATAACACAACATTCAGGAGTGCCCCTGAATGGACAGATGGCATCTCCCACAGCACATTATTAACAGGATTTAGTGACCAGCACAAGGAATTGTGTGCCAGAGGCTTGTTTCAGCCAGGATGAACAGCAGCAAACCAAGCAAATAATTCTGCTGCTAATGCAAGGGGGAAATGCTGCTCACCCCAGCACTCCTGGCACTCCCCAAACTGCCAGCAACTTCTCAGTGCCCTTCTAGTGCAAGTGGCAGCAGGATGTGACAGAGCAGGTGAGATGAGTACCTGTGCTGGCAGGGAAGGATGCTGGTGTCAGTCCCACACTTGTGCCTTTTTGCAGTGCTGTCTGTGAGAAGTTACTCATGAAGTACACACAGAATCTGTGCCCTATCAGTGCCCAAGCTGCTGGGTGATTTACTGTCATTGTGCTAATTATCTCCTACCAATTACTGCACACTCATGTTCAAAGACATGAACAATAAGTAGAGCTCACTCACATTTAGCCCAACTGCAAAAGATTAATTAGAAACCCCCATAAAAGCACACCAAAAAATTTACCCTTATTTTAGTGTCTCCATCTGTCCATCATGTGAGATGATCCTGCACCACAGGCAAGTCCAGGGGAACAGGACCTTGCCCAGGGCCAGCAGATCAGCATTGCCAGGGTAACTGGGAGAATACTTCACCCCCCAGCTTTGTTCAGCCTCCAGAAGCACTTTGGGAGATGCCCAGGGGCTCAGTGGGACCCTTGGCTGGGCAGGGTGGGGGCAGAGCAGGAGGTGACATCCCCCAGCACTGCTGGCCCAGGGTGGGGACACGGGGACAGAGGAGGAGGGCAGGAACACAAAGGCAGGGACTTCCAAAAGCACACTCGGCATCACAGCCCTGCAGGGCTGCAAGGTGATTTTGTAAATATTTCTTGGGATTGTGTTTCCTTGCTCAGGGCTAGCAAGAGAGCATGTGCCATCATCTTGAGGACAGATTGAGAATGCAAACCTAACATCTTCTTCTCTTTCAAAATCAGATGATCAGCTGTGGCTTTAGTTTTGCCAAATTCTGTTAAATATAGCACAAAATTATACAGAACCATAGTAACTGCACTCCTGCTATTGTTCTGATTTAAAGAAGAGTTTGATGACATCAGGTAAATATTTGCCCTTATGTAATAGCACCCTCCAACACCCCCTCAGCAACCCAAACCAGCGGGAGGCAACTGGGGGAGGCAGAGCCTCGTGGCTGGGTGGGGACCCTGGGTGACTCCTGGAGGGTGTGGTTGGGAGCAGACTCCCAAACACAGGCTGCCCCAAAGCACCAGTGTCCCCTCTGGGGCTGGGGTGGGGGATGAGGAGAGGTGGCAGCAGAGCACTCACGTTTCAGGAAGCGGTTCCGGACCCATTTGTTCTGCCTCCGGGCGTATCTCTTGGTCACCTGCTTGAGGGCCTGGATCCCTTTGAAACAGAGGGGTTAAACAAAAGAAAAAAAAAAAACAAAACCCAAAAGGTCAGTGAGAAGCTCTAGGGAAGGGAAATTACACGAGGAAGAAGTTTAGCACCATAAGAATTATTTTTACTGTCATTCTGGGGGTCTGTGCCTGAACTAAGAGGCTGAGCCCTGACACACAGTGGAGGGGCAGTGGCAACGTGGAAAGGCTGGACAAGGTACCCCAAATATCCCTGAATAAACAGAGGGTGCAAAGAGCCCAAACCCTCCACCCTGAAGCTTTTAGCAGCCAGGACAACCTGTTCAAGGGCTGCACTGTTCTCATAATGCCCCATTCTCTGCACAAATGGAGCCCAGGACTGCTCATCCCACCCAGCAGAGGATGATTTACCACTCTACAACTGCTCAATATTCAGTACCAGGTTTATCTAACCCCTCCTAATCGTCTCCTGAGCAGACACAACAAGCTCCTTCTGCATCAGCCTTTTATCATTTCTGTGGTTTCTTCAGTCTCCACCTCCACTTCACACTGAACCCTCCTTGGCACAGATGGACTTTGCCTGGGCCCTCCCTGTGTGGAGAGCAGCTCCCCTCCAACATCAGCCCAGACATTCCAGAATAACACAGCACCAAAGGGTGCATCCCTGCTGAGTGATCCCACATTCCTCCTCACCACAGTGCTGCTGACACGCTGAGCTCTGCTGCATTCCTCTTTTCCAGCCCTGCTCTCCACAGCATGCACAGCCCAGCTGGGATCCCATCACCCAAGTGGACCTGCTGCACATCCCAAATCACACTGTACATCTTGCAGGGAGGCCTCAGGGGAGAGAGGGGTTGTTCTGGGTGTGCTCAGAGATGCTCTCCAAGCACTGGAAAACGAGTCCATGCCCCACTGGGCTGGCAGGAGTGGGAAATGCAGAGAGAAAGGTGCAGCTGGGGCTGTGACCTTGGTTTAGACCATCTTGTGGTGTCACCTGGAGCTTTGTGGGGCACGCAGGGTGCTCCTCCCACCTTTTTCCAGCAGCAGGGCACTGGTTTCTGGTGAACATTTCCCTTCACTGACGAGGTACTCGTGGAATTCCTTGAAGCCAATGGACTGGAAGATTCCGTGCTGGTAATCCTGCCTGGAGAACCAAAGGCAGGGATCACAGCCATGTCCTGTGGAACAGTGGGACACCTCCAGAGGGAGGAGCAGAGAGGATTTGGCTGCTCACCCACCGGTTCTCTGCCACTTTCTCCTGGTTGTAGCGGCGGTGGAAATCCCGCAGCTCCTCCAGCAGCCCTGCAGCCACCATGTCATCCACCCTCTTCTCCAGCCGTGCATCCAGAGCTGCAGCACGACAGCAGGACACGCTGAGGAGCTGTGTCCTGGGGCTGCACAGCCTGCCAGGACATGAGTCAGCACTGCCAGGCTGCTGCTCCACCTGAGCAAGGCAGAGCCCGGCAGGTCAGGGAGTTCTCTGGCACACCCAGTGATGCCAGAGGAATTGCTGCCTTCTCCAGGGCAGGAGCAGGGAGCCAGCCCTTCCTCAGCCAAACAGGAGCCCGCTCTCACCTGCCTGGTCTGCGTGGAGCCACAGGATGCAGGAATGTGGGTATTTCAGGGGCCCACCTAAGGGCCCCCCACCTTCCTCCTCCTGCTGCTGGTGCAAGATTTCACTGTGGGGGATCCCTGTCTCTTCAAACACTTGGAGGCTCCTGGAAGCAGAGACACAAAGAGCTCAGAGGCTGGGTGAGAACGAGCATTCCCATTGCCCCAGCAGCCCCGGGGGCTGCAGCAAAGGGAACCGCAGACACCCGCCGAGATCCAACCCTCTCATGTGGGGGGAGGGCAGGTTCCAGCTCCGTCCCGTGCCCGGCATCCACACACACCCAGCTCCTGGGGGTGCAGGGCTGGCACACAAGGAGCCCAGAGCACAGCCACCCACACTCCTGCCTGGCTCTGGGACAAGCCCTGCAGGGGACAGGGATCTGGCTCCAGCCCTGCCCTTTCCAGCCAGGCAGGGCTGCAGGGAAGGGACCAGTGCTGAGATGCTGCTGTGGAGCTTTACCACCAGCCCAGCCCAGCCCAGCCCAGCCCAGCCCAGCCCAGGCAGGGAAGGAGGGAGGTGGAGGAGCTGTGCTGGTGCCCAACCCTCCATCCCCCTGCACCGTGCGAATGGGGTGGGCGGTGTTCTGCTCCCCGGGGCCAGGGCTCGGCTGGGACAGAGCAGCAAGCCTGGTCTTGCTGCCGTGCTGTTCCCACAGAGCTCAGCTATGTTACTCAGCCAGCAGGGCAGCTTGCTCTTTAAATAGCTCCAGACAAAGCCTGCTGCTGCTGGGGCACGGAGCAGGAGCAGCCCCAGAGCACAGCCCAGCACCCCAGAGGCAGCTTAGGCTGGGGCTGTGTGAGCCAGAGGGCTCAGATCCCAGAGAGTCACCAGCATCAGCACCCCAAGGTCCCCAGGAACCGGCTGTAAGAAGCCAGGAGCACCCAGCTGGGGTGGGAATGCTCATCCTGCCGTGCTCCCAGGCACACAATTCCCTTGGGAAGGGCTGCTGGGCCCTGGCAGCTCCTGGCCCTGGCACATCAGAGCTCACCTGGCCACCTTGCGCTTGTCATGGGGGTGCAGCTTGGCCGCCATCTCCGGGTCCACCTGGCTCAGGCGCCGATGGAGCTCAGCACTGTCCAGCTGCTCCAGCTCCACTTTCCTGTCACTGTCCGGCCTGGGGGCACTGCTGGGCATCTCCTGCGGGGCACAGGACCAAACCAAACCCTGTGCAAGGCCGGTGCAAGCAACAAGATCCCCCAGAGCCATGGGGTGAAGGAGGGTCCTTAGGTTCTCCCTGCTCCTCTCTAGCAGGGACAGCACTGTGCCAAACTGCAGGAAGTTTGCCCTAAACACGGGATTCATCCTTTCCCAAAATGATTCACAGCCCCCCACAGTACCTTGGTGTTGATAAGAACCTTCCAGAGCAGGGACTCGATGTAGTAGTTGGTTCCTCCCACAACAATGGGGATCTTGTTCCGGGCAAAGATATCTTCAATGTGCCAGAGTCAAGGAGAGAAAGCAGAGATGCAGAGCAGGGGGGAAGGGCTGTGGGAGCAGCAGCCTGGGGCTCAGATCCCACTCTCCCAGCCCCAGGAAACCAGTAAGGCTGCAGGACAGGGTTAGAGGTGTCTCTCATCTCTCATTACTCTCTGTCACCTCTGCCAGCCACCACCAAAACTCGGGGACACCCCAGGACTGCCAGGGATGGCAACACTCAGCACAGATCTTCCCTGGGCTGTCCTGAGGGTTAGCGGGGTAAAAGAAGCCCCAAACCCCTCTGACCACAGAATCCTCCCAAAAAATAGAGTCAGTTGGGATGTGGAAAGCCCAGCCTTTGATCCCTCTGGCCATGGAGGGGGAAGTGTGCTCCTGCTCAGCCAGGCAGGCTGCAGGACTACAGGATATCAGAGGCACAGCTTTGTCCCTGAAATCCACCACGGTGTAGTTGGAGACAAGGGGATCCACAAAGCTGATCATGTGGTGTCTGCAGAGACGCTGCTCCTGAGGGGAAACCTTGTTGGTGATGATGTCCAAGCCCTTGTACACCTGGGGAAGAGAAGAGCCCGTCCTTCACCTCTGTGTCCTTCATCTCTGTGTCATCACTGCTGCTTCCCCCTGCCCCAGTCACTCCTCCCAGCCCCTGCTGGTGTCTGGGACAGGCAGGGGACAGGCAGGGGCACAGCTGGGGCATGTGCCATGCTCAGGCAGGGCAGCAGGAATGCTGCCAGCACCTGCTCCTGCCAGGGCCAGGCTGCCTCTCTCCGGTGTTTGTTCCTGCCCGTGGGAGATGAAGCGTTGAGTCCAACCGCTCGTGACTGCTTTCCTGGTTTGATACAACCCTGTAACTAGGGGTGGGACGGCTGATTGAGCTCTTGGACAGTGCAGTCAGAGCCCTGGCAATGTCACCAGCCCAGCACAGAGCTCTGAAATGAGGGAGCTTCCACCTCCAAGCTGCCACATCCTCATCTGCAGCTAAAATCTCAGGTGTGCTGTTCTCCAAACATTTCCAGCACAGCACGGAGCCTCATGTGAGGACAAGGATCACTGCTTCCTGCAACACACAGAGATCTTTGTGGATGCAACACACAACTTCATGGAGCCTCCTGAACACACACAAACAGCTCATGCACACCTTAAAAGCCTGTGATGTGCTGCCTGCTCTCCCTGAGCCTCGTGGATACAGAAAGCAGCAGGGCAGTGATCCCAGGGGGATGAGGCACTGACCTGGCCAAGGAACCAGGAGACACTGGTGAGAACAACCAGCAGCATCCCACACATCTTCATTCCCAAACTGGGGATACACAACCTGTGAGAGCACTGCTGAGAGATGCTGGCCCTCAGCTGAGAGCAGAGAAGGGAGAAAAGCCAAACCCTCAGCACCAACCCCTCTGCAGCATTCCTGGTAAAGAGCCAAGGCAACCTGGATCCCAGCAGATGCACCAAATCCACCCTCCAGGCTGTGTAAAGATCAAGGGGCTGTAAGGGCTGGAGCTGCCTCAGCTTGGTGTTCCATCACCAGAATCCTTCACAGTGAGAGCAGATTCCAGGCAGGAGAAGGGAGGACAGCTCCTCACCCTGCTTCCCATGCAAACACAACCCTCCTCAGCATGGGGAGCTCACAGTGGGGCACATAAAGCTGCTCTGTGCAGCCCAGCTCTGTGCCGTGCCCAGGATTGAGCAGGAGGTGCTTTGGAAGGATGTGTTTAGTTCTCAGAGCCTTCCTGCTTAAGAGAAGTCTCCCAGCATGGGATAAACCGGGATGATGGGGAAAAGGACTGGAAATGGCTGCACTCATTTCCTCCTCCATCCCCCGCCACCAGAAACCACCCCAGCCAGACTTCAAGAAATAAATTTCCCCTTAATCCCCTCTGAGAAGCTGCCAAGCCTCCAGCACAGCCTCCACCCACTGCTCCCCTGGTCCCAGACAGGAGGACAAGGTGACACAGAGGTGACCCACGGGCACCAGGCACGGAGAGGCAGTGAAGGATGATGCCAGGTTAGTGGAGCAGGGAAGCCCCAGCCCTGCCTGGAGCAGTCATGCGAGCTGCTGGAGCTGCTGGGGCGGCTGAACCGGCTCTGCTCCCACCTTGCATAACTCTCAGAGCTGGAAGAGCCAGGGCTGGCTCCTGCTCCCATCCCAAAAGGCTCGCCCGGGGGGCAGGAAGCGAGGGGGAGAGGGAAGGCAACCAAAGCCTGCAGAAAGGCAGGTGCCCCAGGGAATGGTGAGCAGGCAGGACGGGCCCACAGGCAGCTCTGCCAACGTGCCCCGTGGCTGTGGGCAGCCTATTGATCCCTGGGCTGCTCCATTCAACACAATGCTCCAGCCGGCACAGAAACCCTTTGAATTCAGCGAGCTTTGGCTCCGTGCCTGCTCTCCCCATTTGCAACCCTCCAGCTCCTCCAACTCCCATTGCCTGCCTGAAAATCACAGGGCTGATGGGCAGCTCAAAGTCAGCCAGCAGCTCCCGGTGCCCTGCACATCCAGGATACTCAGCTCAGGCTGCTATCCCCGGGTTCTCCTGGAGATTAAACACCGAGAGCCTCGTGGAATATCTGGCAACAAGGGCAGGAATGCGGTGTCAGTGTGTGGGCTGGGAGGAAACAAAGGCAGCCTTTTACACACAGGCAGTAAACCCGGAGAAGGTTTCCACCAGCTGGCTGTCGGCAGGGCCTCGCACCGAGACGTCCTCCTGACACTCATTTCTATTTTCAGCCAGCGGCTCAGATAAGCCTTTGTTGCTTTCTAAGGCCCCAAAACAGATTAGCAGCAGCCTGGAGCAGCCAGGCTCCGAGACAAGGAACACAAGCCAGCACTAAAGATGCTTAGCCTTGAGGCGTCCTCCCACCTCTGAGCTGAGCTGGAAGATGGAAAAGGTGAGGAAACTGAGGCAGGACACACAAACACAGATTTTCAGGATCTGCAGCCCGGGAAGGGCAGGCTCTCCCAAATCTTTGCTCTGCCATCAGTTCAGTACATCATCCCAAACTCTTGATATCATTCAGGGGAACACATCCAGACCATCTATGGCCAGGAAAACATCAGGATTTCAGCGGGACCATGCTGGAGAGGAGCTTGGAGGACCCAAACCAAGCGAGGGTGAAAGGAGAGCATGACTGACTCCATGTCCTGATCCCTGCCATGAGAAGGATGGCTCTGGAGATGTCCTGACTCCACACACTGACTGGTAAATGTGTGCTACAGCAACTGCATCACCACTGCCAAGGGAGAAACCCAGAAGGGACAGTGGGATCCAGAAGGGACAGTGGGATTTTGAGTGGATGGGGCCCTCATCAAGCTGGCACAGGGATCCCTGCGTGTTCACTGCCAGGAATGAAGAAACAGGACTGGCTTCACCCTGCCTGGCTCTCCAAGGAATTACTTACTCCTCAACAAAACTCACTGGGATGACAAACAGCAACAGAAAGGACAAAAAGAAAGATTAAGAGGCCAGCAGATTAAGCAGAGCTCCTGAGCTGCAAGCAGGCAGCAGTTAAGTCTGTAATTTGAGCACAGCGACTCAGAGCCATGACGAAAACACCCTGGAGATGGATAGAGGGGTGCCTGTGTGTGGGAACAGGTGGGCTCAGGGCTCCTCAGCCCCTTCCCGAGCCTGGCTCCCGCTCCAGCAGCTGCCCAAAACACTGCCAGCATTTGTCAGAGCTGCTCAGAGCCCAGCAATGAATGCACAGAGGGGGCTGAGGGGCGACACGGTCGCTGGCAGCTGTCAGTCCCGAACGAGCAATGGGATTTCCAAATTCCAAACCCCAGCGAGTGTCCCACGAGGACAGCAGAGCCAGCCCTGCGTGGCAGGGGGACACGCCACGGGGAGACACAACAAAGCCAGGCAGAAAGGAGCCCCGGCTGGGGGGGGACCGGGGGTCAGTGGAGCGTGGTGGGGGCCGTGCTGGGCTCCCCCTCCTCGCCAGCACGCTGCATTAGGGGATAAAGCAGCCGAGCTGCTCGGCCCTGGCTCCACAGTCACGCTAGAATGAGATTAAAAGGAAAGCAGGACAAGAGGCACCGCAGCCAGGATGCCATTGGGCGCCTGCAGCAGGGACCTCCCCGCACTGCCCGCATTCCCATGGAGGGGGCTGAAAGGAGAGGAGCAAAACGAAAGCTCCAAAATGTCCACCAGCGGGGATTCAGCTCCGAAACATCCACCAGCAGGGATTCACAGCGTGCCACGAGGCTCCAAACACACCTGCAGAGCTCAGCATGCAGCAGCAGCCTCGCCTCGTTCAAGTCAGCAGCCACTTCCCCAATATTAAAGATGGGCAAAGCTCCTGCACTTCACGCTTTGCCCTCTCAGGATTTCATTTCAGCTCAGATCTCACTCTTTCCCCCCCCAGAGCTTAAGGGAAACATTCCATAAAATTACTTTCTGATTGTTTGCCCCAAATTCAGGAGGCTGGGGTTTTAAATTTAGCTCACTGGGACACAAACGGTGACCAGGAAACAGGGAGGTGGGCACAGAACAGCGGGAGTTGATCTCTGAGCAGCACAAAGGGTGTTGCCGGCAGAAAACACCGTTTTACATAGAATAATAAATACATTCAACATTAAACTTGACGGAGAGTTCAGGCACTATAGGAAGTGAAGAGTGAAAGTGTGGATCAGTAAGGAAAATACTTTGCTAAACAACAACAAAATTGTTATTCTTGTGGTGGCTGAAATGTCCATCCAAAAAAATGAGTTTTGGCTTCTCACTGTTGACTTATCCCAACCACACAACTGATATATCCCATACTGCTGCTTGCAGTGAGAGATGAGAGCACAAATACTGGCACTGGCAAGTAGAAAGCATAATTTTTAATATTCTTCCCCAAATCTCTTGGTGTCCCTTTGCTGATGCCAGAGGACCCCACCCTGCCTGTTGCTCACTACCAAGTTACTCCAGCTGCTGCCTCCCCCTACTCAGCCCTTTACACCTCTCTGCAGCTTCTGGTGGGTTACAATTAAAACACTTTTGCTCTGGTTTCATTCCAAAAGGTGAATTTATCGGCGATGGGGGGGAGGCTTAAACAAACACTGTGAACAAACTCCGCAGTTTTGGTTGCCTCTCGTGTTCAGAGCCCACAGGGCAGGGAGGGGACACGAACCAAACAACTGCCCATGGGACAGGAACTGGGACTGGGGAACCGGGACAGGGACACCGGAGCTGGGACAGGGGCAGCAGGATGGGTTCCAGGGACAGGGATACAGGGACAGGGACACCGGGAGCTCATTCAGCGGGCAGGATCCATCCCGTGGGCTCTCCCACACATGTACCCGGAGGAACGGGAGGGAACGTGCCCGGAGCCTCCGGGACTGAGCTTCTCCAGGCCCCGACTGGGCCCTGCTGCCCCTCCGGGCCCAGCTCGGACTCTGGCAGTGCGGCCCAGGAGGCCCCGGTACAGGCCGGACCACCCTGGGTACAGCCCGGACCTCCTCCGGTACAGACCGGACCCCTCCCGGTGCAGCCCAGACCCCTCCCGGTAGAGGCCGAGCCGCCTCCCAACCCCCCGGCCCAGGCCCAGGCCCCGCCGGGGCTCCGGGCGCGGCTCCTCCCGGGCCCAGGCCCGGCCGCGGCCTCCCCGGTGCCCGGCGCCGGCCGTACCTGCATGGAGTCGGCGCTGACGATTTCCCCGCCGAGCCGCAGCCCGAGCTGCAGCGCCAGCGCCGATTTCCCGGTGCCGGTGGCTCCCAGGATCACCACGAGCGGCCGCGGAGGCCGCGGGGCCCGGCCCAGGCACAGCGCGGCCGCCGCCGCCATGGCCCGGCCGGGGACGGGCGGGCGGGACGGGGGCGGGCCGGGGCCGGGGCCGGGGCCGCCCGCGGGGAGGACGGGGCCGGGCCCCGAGCTCCGTGTGCCCGTGCCCGCCGGGACTCCCTTCCCCAGCCCCTCCGTGCCGCTGTGTCCCCACACTCATCCCGGTCCCCTCCCCGTGTCCCGGGTGCCCAAACCCATCCCCATTCCCGCGGCCCCTTTTTCGGCTCCCCCATTCCCCCCCAGGCAAGCCCCTTGTCCACGCCTGGGGCTCTGCCCCGTGGTCCCTTTTCCAGGACAGATGGGAAGGATGCTGTTGCCGTAGCAAAGGGGGCAAAGCGATGAGGAGCGGGGCTGTTGCCACGGCAACGGGGCAGAGTAGGATGATGCGAGGGGGCTGCTGCCATAGCAACGCAGAGCAGCGTGTTGCCGTGGCGACCGCAGCTTCCACTGAGGCTCGTCCTTCCTTCCCATCGCCACGGCAACAGGAGGAGATGGGGAGAGGGCCGCTGTCTCCGTGGCAACAGAGGGGAGGGAAAAGGCGAGGCCGTTGCCATGGCACCCCCGCGGTGCTGCTCTCCCTGGCAACACACATCCCTCGCCATGGCAACACGGAGATGCAGGCTGCTGGCCAGGGGGGTGTGGGCAGCCGGCCCCCCTCGGCAGGGAAGGGATTATCGCCGCCTCGGGAAACTGTCCTAAAAATTTGCCAGCCCAGGCGTGAAGGTGGCATCGTGCCCACGACACCCCCGGGCCGGCGCGGGGATGGGAGGGAAGATGTGGTGGGCAAGCAGAAGTGGGTTGGGGGGGGGGGGTACAGCAAAGAGCAGGGTGTTAGCAGGGCAGTGTGCATTAAAAAATAAAGAATTCAGGCCCTGGCAGTGCCCACTTGTGCTGATTGCAGCTGACACTCACAAATTGCAGCGCTGAACAAGCGAGTTGGAAAGCCCTGTGTGCTTATTTTGTTCACTTGACAGCACTGCCAGTCTCCTTCCCTCAGCCTGACCGTGACAATATGAGAGGAGACACGTGCTCCAGTAACCAGGGAAGTTTCAGGTAGATACATGTGGATGCAGGCTCTAGGCAGGAGAACTCAAAGGTGTTTACAAACTTCAACTCAGCTCTTCAGTTTGATTTGGGCTTTGGGGACATCTCTTACTGGTGACGGTCTCAGCTCGGTCTATGGATCTGCTCATCATTTCCAAGAAAGATAATTAATGTTTTAAACTTCCTATGTACCTTCAGCACAAAAAACAAAACAAAACAAAACAAAACAAAACAAAAAACCAAAAAAACTTGCTAAAAACCTTCTCAGGAGGGTCACCTTGAGCTGAGAAAAGACAGACTGCGAGTGTCACAAAAACACAACAAAATAACCACGAGGGGCTGGTGCATCTGGGCTTTGTTTCCTGCGCATGGGCGAGGTGTCAGATTTAGGTCACCCTGCTCCCTGCTTAAGCTGTGGGTCATGGGAGCACCTTTTAATGCAGCTCTGAAAGGCTGTGACATCCTGTGATGCAACACAGAGTGTGAAACGCTGCTGGAACCCAAGGGGACGGGTGTTTAAGGGCTTTCTGTGTGGCATCGTTGCTATTTAAGGCTGGTTTCCCCCGGGTGATCGAGGCTCCAGCAGCAGCTCCTCGCTCCTGACTCCTCAGCAGTAACATAATCCCACATCCCTCCTGCATTTAGAGTAAGACTTTTGCTGCCAGGACAAAGGAAACCCAAACGTGTCAGGTTTGGGGGCAGCAGGAAGAACATACATATATATCATTTCATCCACTTGGCAGATCTGGAGCTCTCCAGTGCTCCTGGAAGTGAGTGGATTGCATTCCCCCCTCCCTATAGGGTTACAGCCCCAGCCCCTGACCTGTGGGGCAGCCATCACCCCACACTCCCTGCCCCAAACCCCATTAGGGGGGTTTATAGTTACATCAAAGCCTTCTCCCAGCCCAGCCCGGGCTCTCTGCCCTTCCTTGCCAATAAAACCACTTAAAAGGAGGAAAAATAATCCAGGTGATTCATTTCCACCACCACAACCACTTCTTCGAGCGCTGGGAAGAAAACCAGGACAAAGAGCTCAGTCTTGGTGCAGCTGAGCCCTGGTACAAAATAGATTAATTTCTGTTCATGCTCAGGATACCCCAAAACCCGGGAGGGGGGCCAGAGCAGCCCCCCCAGGAACACCAAGGTGAGGCATGGAAACCCAGAGCCGACTGCATGGAAAAAGCCAACCCAGGCTGTTGCAAACTTATTTATTTATGAAGTATGAGGTAATGAAGAAAGTGCTAAATCCAACCAGTGTTAACTCTAACAGTTCTCAGCAGGTCAGCAGGGAGCCCAGGGGTGCCATCCTGCAGGACCACCCTCTGCCAGCACCCCTGGGAGGGGACAGGGGACTCTGCCACCCTCCCACAAGCTGGGCAGCAGGAGGGCACAGGCAGGGAAGGCAGCACAGCCCAACCTGCCCAGTGCAAAGCCCAGAGCTTTGCTGGGGATTTTAAGTGGCTGCTGGTGAAGGAGAACTCACAGGGTGGGAAAAGAGGGTCACAAGGATGCTCACAAGGATGGGAAAGGGATAAAATCCCCTCTTATTGCAAATGGGTGGTTTGGAGAGCTGCAAGGGGGTGAATGGCCTCTGCGAGGACTCAGCTCAAGGGTCCAGCAGGAACCAGCCCCTTCCTGATCTCCCTAAAGTGCAGCAGGACTGAGCCCTCCCCCACAGCAGGAAATTCCCCTTAAAAAAAAAAAAAAAGTTTTAATATATTTATATATATATAAAAAAAGCAAACTCTTTACCAATACTTCTCAAAAAAGTGGTACAAAAATACAGTATAAAAACACAGCCTCCAGTATAAGACTCGCAGTTAACAGCAGCAGTTTCTAGAACATCAAATCCAGGACCAGCTACTGCGTGAAGTGACGAGGAAGTGAGGTACGGTCCAGCCGAGCAAGGGGATTGCCCACGGGGTGTTGTTCATCCTGGTGAGAGGCACATCCTGCCCTCACCATCTCTGTGGGATCCATCCAGAGGTGAGCCCCGTGCTGGGCTCTGTGCCCGCCTGCTTCCAGGAGCCAAAGCAGACGTGGTTGCTTGGGATTTTTAGGGTGAGGTGGATGCCCAGGGGTAGCTCCCAGCAATGCTGTTGGTGGCAAATGGCAGAGAGGGGTGCAGGGGCAGGGAGGGGGAATAAATCTGAGCTCTTGAAGTGGAGCAGTCACTGAGGAAGCTTCACAGCAGGGACAAGGGAAATTTTGGAACACACAGTGCCAGGAAGCCAACCCCAGGTAGGTGATGCTGTGTGGGGTCACTCTGCAGATCCATTCCCACAGCCACTGCCACGTGCTCTACAGCCCCAAGGCCAACAGTTCAACAAGCAACCAAAAAATAAAAAACAAAATGTGCAAATTGAGAAGGAGCTGGGGGGTTGTGGGGAGCAGGATGGGGGGCACACCGGGTGCTAGTGCCCCTTTAGGTGAGCAATCCGTTTGAGCAGCTGGGTCTGGCGCAGCTGCAGCTGCCGTTTCTCGGCTGCCATCCTCCTCTCGGCACTGATGAGGGACTGCAGGTACTCCGAGGATTTGCTCAGGATCACCACTTTGGGGGTCTTGGGGCAGCTGGCGAGCCCGGGCACCTGGTCCCGCAGGGCCAGGAAGCGCGAGCGGAGGTCGTTGCGCCGCTTGCGCTCCAGGTAATTGTGATTTTTCCTCTTGGCCACGTCCTCGCTGTCCGAGCCGGGGTTGCTGCTGGGTTTTGGCAAGCCAGGCTCAGGCAGGGTGGCAGCAGGGGCTGGTTCCACAGTGCTGGGTGGCTCGTCCTCCTCCTGCTCCTGCTGGGGTGACTCGGGCGGGGGGCAGGAGTCCGGCGGCGAGCGGGCGGCGTAGTTGTGCTGCTGCTGGTGGACGGAGATGTGGAAACGTTTCATGCAGGGGTCCAGGGGGTCGGCACGGAGCGTGATGGTCACCGGCTTCCTCAGGCTGAGAGATTGTCTCTTGTCCACCGTCACCACGTCGATCTCTTCACCTTCTGCACTCATGGCAAAGAAAGAACAAACCTCCATCAGCTGGGAATGCCCAGTCACCTTTCCGGGGGTCCCTACAGCTCCCCGGACGACCTCCCCACTAAAGTTTGCTCATGCACTGCAAACTCTGTCACCTCCAGAAGGGACTGTGTGATTTAAGTGCCCTTTCAATACCATCACGTGGGAAGGGGTGGAATTCCCTCCCTGTTTCACGCGCCTGGTCCCCCAGAATTGGACTGGGAGGCTTTACTTCCACCTCACTTCAGCACCAGGAGCAACATGTGTTCATCATAAAGGATCATCAGGAAAGAAACATCCGAGCCCTCCTGCGAGGTGGGGGGGAACTGGAGCAGCAGGATGCTGGGACAGCCTAGTTCCAAAGTTCATCCCGGTCGGGTGCTTTCAAGGCCCATTGGAATTGTAAATGAGGGATATAAGGGCAGAACTACCCTTTGTTCCCCTTGGCTGCAGCTTCCCACCTCGGTGACTTGTTACTTTTCACAAGTGATAAAGCCCATTCAGCGCCGGCTTCCCGGGGACAGAGGGGACAATCCCCCACTGTGCAGGGAGGGAGGGAGAGGTGAAGAGGTCCCTAGAGCAGACTCTGAACCTCAAAGGCATCTCAAGCCCAGAAACAGAAAGACCTAAATAAAGCATAATTGGCCTCAAAGCATTCTGCCTGTTGCCACTGCAGTTGTCCCATCCCGCGGGGGGGGAGGTGGCTTTGGGGACAGCGAGGTGAGCAGGCTCCGGACACATCCCCCGCGATTGCTCTCACTTTAAGGGATGGGCCTCCAATATTTTTCCTGGGCTTTAGGGGAAAATAGAGCCACTTGCTAAAGATCCCCCGAGATGCTCAGCATCGTGGGCAGAGGTTTGACCCCCGCTCTCCTGTCAGGGTGCGATTCTGACAGCGGCCCCAGCTGATACCCCAAACCCTCCAGGCTTTGGGGTTCAGCCCAGGAAGCCCAAAGCCCGCCGATACTGGGGTTACTGGGCTGGGGACACCCATCAGTGTCACAACCCGCGCGGTCTCAGCCCCGTGTACACACACACACGCTCATTAATAAAAAAAGTCGTAGCCCCGCCCTCCGCACGCACCCATTGGCTGTCCCGCGGGGCCGGCCGCCTGTCCTGCCATCCCATTGGTCCGTGCTCCTGTCAATCAGAGCGGCCCCTCTCATTGTTTGCAATCTGTTGCTTTTTGTTCGGCGCCCACGTGGCGTGGCCGGACCCCTCCGGGACCCCCGCGGCACCGGGACCCCACCGGCATCCCCGGCCAGGCCCCCGCATATTTGGGTTAAGCCTCTTAAGGCCCGCGACCTGGCTTAGTAGTCCCCGGGCTACTAATGGCATTAAGCCCCGCGCCGTGACTCACCGGCGCAGGTGGCGGCCACCGGCAGATTTATTAACGGGGTCACGCTCCCACGGCAGCCGAGGCAGCCCGGGAAACAACGCACGGGCCCCCACGGAGCTGCGGGGTTGTGGAAAGCCCGAGGGTGTTTAGCAAATAAGCCCCGAAAATTTGGCGTGAGATTGGAGAAATGCGGGGCACGCTGCCCTTGGCGGGTGGGTTTTGGAGGTATCGACCTCCCAGCCAGACCCCCCGTGGAAACACTCACACATCCCCCACGCGGGACAGGCAGACGTGCCCCGGGGCTGGGCTGGGACTCGCCACAGCCGGGGCTGCTGTTCCTGCCCGTCCTACCGAGCCACCGCCTCGGGGGACACGCCGCTGCTCCCAAAGCTGCTGCCCCCAGGGCGTATTTTGCCTTTTTTCCCGAGGGAAGCCCGTCCCGGGTGGGCTGTGGGAGGAAAAAGGGGGAGCAGCCAAATTTACGAGCCGGCGGCAGAGCGCGGTGCAGCGCTCAAAACCCCAAACTTTGCACGGTGAGCTGCAAACTTGCCCTTCAAGCTTCTCAAGAGGTTTCCGTGGGCTCGGGACGGGGGAAAAGGGCCACCAGAGTCCCACGCGAGAGCCGGAGGGAGCCCCACACACCCTCCCGAGAGGGACAAGGGTTTCCCGAGCACAAACCCCGCGGGAAGGGGGAACAGCCGAGCTCGCTTTGTTCGTGGGGCCGGGACCGGGGCTCGCTCGGAGTCTCAACAAAGGCGCAGCCTTGGCTGGGAGGTTCCCTGCGCACACATGTGCGGACACGCGTGTTCCCCACGCCGGCCTCCAGCAAGGCAGCTCGGCGGCGGAGCGGCTCCGTCCCTTACCCGAATCGCTCTGGCCCTCGGATCCCGACGATGCGGGGATCTTGCTCTCGGCCAGCGGGCAAAGGAAGACGGCAGCGGGATCCACGCACTCGCTGACGGAGCTGCTGAACCCAAAATCCTGCGCGAAGGATGGTTTGTGCGGGGTGGCTCTCTGCGTGCCCGTGGAAAGTTTCTCTGTCATCGCCTTCTCCAGTCTCTCCCGCGCTGAAAAACCGCTCCACATGCAATCCTTGAGGATGAAAGCGCTCAGGTTGCCGAAGATCTGCCCCGTCCCTATGAGATACTCCGGCTCTTCCCCGGCCAGGCAGTACCGGGAGAGCCATCCCGGGCGCTCCTCGGCCCCCGAGCAGCATCCCTTGTCCCCGAGGGTGCCCAGCGGGGACAGCGGGGGCGTGGGGACCAGCTCGAACTTCTTCCAGATGTCCTCGCTGGGCGCCGTGGAGCGGTGGAAATCCTCCTGGGCGTCGTGATCGTAGAAGTAATGCTGGTACGAGTCAAACTCCATCTCGGCACGGGGAAGGGGGCGGCCGAGAGAAGAACAAGCGTTCAGGAGAGGGGCAGCCCCAGGGATGAGGGGAGACCCCCACCCCGGCGCCAGCCCCCGAGCCGGGACCGCGGGCGCATTGTTCCCCTGCTCTTATAGCCCGGCCGCGGAGCTCGGCCCCTCCCTCGCCAATCACCACGCAAATATTTGCATAAAGGGTGGGACAATACTCCGTGTCCCGCCCCCCGAGGGGACACGATGCCCTGTCCCCTCCGGAGGTCTCCGGTGTCGTTACCGGGGATGCTCACGGGGTTCTGGACCAGCAGCCGCCCCGTGCGCTGGGCTGGGGGCTCCTCGCTGCCCCCGGGGGTTCCCAGCGCCGTCCTTGGCCCACCGGGAGGGGCAGGCTTTGGGGGATCCCCCTCTGCGGGAGCTAAGGAGGGACACGCAGCTGTGCCACCAGCATGGGGACAAGGGCAAAGCTAACTGGAGAAAAGGGGACAAGTCACAAGGAGGCATCACCTGCTGCCGGGGACGATTTTTGAGTGCTGTTTCTCGTCTGTCCCCTCTGCTTGGCTGTCACCCCAATTCCTGTTGGGCTGCCCAGCCCACACTGGACGCTGCCACCACAGGCAGGAGAGTGGCTCCAGCACCGGGCAGCAGTGGGGTCACTTAGTTTGTGTCCAGCTCAGGGTGCCACCCTGGATACCAGCTGGAGGCATCCCCACTCCTTCCCAAAGCCCTCCCAGAGCCAGCTGGGAGCATTTCCCCCTAAAAGACACCAACTCCAGCAGAAAGCTGGCTGAAACAAGGAGAAACTGTGAAAAACAGAGCTGGGGACACAGTGCCCATGAGGAACGAGGTCTGTGCACGGAGGAAGGGCCGTGGAAGGGTTGGGAGCCACGGGGGATGTCAGGAGCCACCATGGAGGGAATTTGGGGTGTCCTGGGACACACACACAGCAGCACATGACACGTCCAGCCTTGGGGTGCAGAGGGACACGCTGTGTCCTTGCGGACAAGGGTGAGTTCAGCAGGATGCTGCCTCTCTCCAACGCCAAGTTCCTTCTAGAAATGGCAATAAATGTTATGAAAACACAGCGGGGCTTTCACCTCCTACACTTAATTGCTACACACACAGGCACAGAGGTACAAAGTCTACCCGGAACCAACAGAATCCCCTGGCAGTGTGTGTGAACCCACTTCAGCCCCAACCTCCCTTCTTTTGTCACCCGGTGGGGATGAGGCCACGAGATTTGTCCCAGTTGGCAGCACTGGGAGCTGGGGGCACTGGAGGCTGGTGAAGCACCGGCCCTGGAGGGAGGAAACTGTCCCAGTACAGCCCAGTATAGCCCAGTACAGCCCGGTATAGCCCAGTACAGCCCAGCACTGCAATGCCCTTCATGAACCAGCACAGCCCAGTAAAGTCCAGTGCAGTCAGACCAGTGTAGCCCAGCACAGACAAGCCCAGTCCATCCCAGTCCGGTCCATCCTAGCTCCCCTCGGTTCCCCTCGGTTCCCCCCGGTTCCCCCCGGTCCCGGTCCCCGTCCGCCGCCACCGGCGGGCACCGGGCGCCACCTGCTGGGCCCCGGGAGCACCGTCCTTGGGCGGCGGGGACGGGGACACGCGGGTGACACCGCACCGGGCACGCCCCGCCCGCGGGGACAGCGCTGCCCATCGCTCCGTGCCTCAGTTTCCCCATCGCCAGCGGGCACTGGGCAGGCAGAGGAGCAGGGCTGGGAGCGGGCGCTGGGCTGGCGGCTGTCCCGGGGTCCCCAAGAAGGTGACGTGCCCCGGTGTGTCCCGGTGTGTCCCAGGGTCCCCAAACAGGTGACGTGGCCCAATGTGTGCCAGTGTGTCCTGGTGTGCCCTGGTGTAGCCCAGGGTCCCCAACCAGGTGATGTTTCCCGGGGCGTCCCGGTGTGTTCTGCTGTGTTCTGCTGTGTCCCGGGGCCCCCAGGCAGGTGACATGCCTCGATGTGTCCCGGTATGTCCTGAGGTCCCCAAACAGGTGACGTGCCCCGGTGCGTCCCAGTGTGTCCTGGTGTGTCCCGGTGTGTCCCGGGGCAGCTCCGGCCCTTCTCTTGCTGGCTCGGGGCTCAGCGGACCCTGCACAGCTTTGCCAGCTCCAGCACCTGGGAGAATGCTGGCCTGGTTTCCCAGTCATGGGGTCCCCGCGATGGCCACAGTGCCCTAAATACCCTCCTGGCCCTTCCCTGAGCATCCCAATCCTGCCCGCGGGGCTGGGGCAGGAGCTGCGGGATCCGGGAATCCCGGTGGAGCCCGGGCTGATGCTCACTTTGTACTCCGGTATCAGCTTCGGCCCCAGCCACGCTGGGAATGTCCCCGCTGTGTCACCAAGCCGGAGTCTTCCCACCTCAGGGCTGCTCCTGCCCTTTTCCCTCCCTGCGAAGCACGGGTGAAGCCCTCTCTTCCTCTTTAGGAAACAAATGGCCCTGCACTGAGGGCAGAGACTGAGCTGCCGCTCACTCACTGCCACAGAGCTTTGTGCTGTCTCAGCACCTGCAGCGACAAGTGGTCACGGTTGGGGACACGGCTGGCACTGTCCCCAGCCGCCTGTTCCTGTGCCAACATATCCGCAGGCACAGGAGCGCACCCTGCCCCAACCTATAGCGCCCGGCCACGTCTCCTTCCTTCTTTCTTTCCTTCCTCCCCGCTGGCCTCTGCGACGCTCCCAGCTTTTCGCAGGGCGAGGCAGGAGCGAGTCCCGGCTTCAAGGGGCTCCGGATGCTTGGAGGGTGCAGAAGCGCGGCTGGAGAGGGCAGGAGGGGCCGCGCGGTTCTTTCATCCCGAGCTCTGCCCGCGCTGCGCAAACAGCACCGAGAGCCTCTCACGCAAACAGGGTGGGTGACAAACCCGGGGGCTGCGGTGACCGCGACAGAGGGGCCACCCACAGGACAGGATAACCCTGGCAGTGTCCCGCAGCTGCAGGGGGCTGGCACAGGTCCCCAGACGTGGCCCTGCTGGAGGTTGGCACGGTTCCACGGGAGCTGCCGTGGCCCTGCTGGAGGTTGGCACGGCTCCACACATGATGCAAGGGCAGCTCTCCGTGCCCTTTGGATCTCCACTTCCAGCAGGGCCGGGATTTCAATCTCCAGACCCCAGAGTGCTTCCCCGCAGTGGGCAGCCACCTCCAGAGCCTGAGAGGTGTCTCAGGGGTGTCCTGGGCTGGGACTCTGCCTCTGGCTGTCCCCATCCCACTGCAGCAGCAGCCTTTGAGCCACTCTGCCATCCCCCTGGCAGTCTTGGATGCTCAGGGAGGGAGCAGAGGCTGTGCCAACACATCCTGGCCTCATCTCGTCCCCCTCTGCCTTGTGACATGGTCCCCAGGGTCCCACACAAGAGAGGGACAGCACAGCACAGGGCAGCTGCCACGTGCAGCCATGCAATGAGTCCCCTTTGTCCCCAAGAAGCTGTTGGGTAGCAGGAACAGAGTCTGGCTGGAGGTTTGCAAAATGCCATCCCAAGGCCCCTTGGGCTGCAGGAACATCACTAAACTCTGCCCAACCTGACAAGGAGGGGGACAGTGCCCACAGCCCCGGGGTCACAGCAGCCCCAGCTCCCCGGGGGTGCAGACACCCACTCTGAGAGTGCAGAGACAAGGAGAGGAAAATGCACCATTGGTTCCAGCTCCGCTGGCTCCTCACTCTCTCCACTCATTTTGTCGCTGTCACACCCTGCCCGACAGCAGGAGGTGCCCTGAGCCCTGCAGAAGCTCTGTGGTGTCAGGCAGCGCTATCCCCACACTCAGGCACTCTGTGGCCCCCCAGAAACTCTGGGATCACCTCGCAGCTGTTTGTCCCCAAGCCCATCCTCCCTGTCCAGGCTGGCCCAGCCGAGCAGGGCTGTCTGGTTTCGGGTGCTCTCACACTTGCTCAGATCCTGCTCCAGGCTGTGCCAGATGTGTGACAGTGGGAGGTGTGGGTGGCATCGTGTACTGGAGTCCCCAGGGCCAGCATTTGGGTCCCAACCCCAAAGGGGCCCCAGTGGTGTCCCCAGCTGAGGGATGTGGAGGCCAGGCTGCTGTAGTGTCACTTGAAGTGGTCCTGGTGACAAGGGTGACCCCGTGTGTGGCTCAGCCCCAACCACCTGTGGGTCCCTGGAGTCCCCAGGCTTGGCAGGAGCTGCTGCAGGGACATCCCCGCTGGGATCAGCCCTTGGTGGGTCATTTATCACCATGAGGATCCCCCAGAGCATCTGCTAGGGAGGAAGGGCTCAAATCCCCCCACCGGAAATTGTGCAATACCAGATCTGGGGGAGAAAATCCTCCTAATCCAGGGAAATCCTGGTCTGTCTACTTCTCCTCTTCATGTGCAAGGCTGGGTTCACCTATCTGTGGTCTTTCTGTACAATCTCTGTCTCAAAGGCCTTTTCTTTGTTCCCCTAAAGCCGTGTTTGCCCAGGAGGCAGCTCCTGAGTGCTTTGCTCAAGGACAGGAATGCCAAAAGCATTCCCAGGAGTTGAGGAGGCCCTGGGACAAAGGGAGCAGAGTGACGGTGCTGGGGTCACACACAGTGGGGAGTCTGGTCCCTAGAGCAAGGTCAAGTGCCACCACAGGAGTCCCCTCTGCTCCTGGGCAAGAGATTTTGGATGTGGAAAGGGAAACTGAGGCAGGTGTTTATCCACACCTCACTCCTCTCTTGTTTTGAGGTGTTTTGTGTCACTGCTTTGGACGCCCTGGAGCCTCACACAGGCCCCCATCCCCAGGGGGTGGCATCCCTGTGACACAAGGCAGTGCCAGGGGAACCCACTGCAGGTGTGTGAGGGGCCAGAAACTGTGAGTCAGAGGTGACATCAGCTCCCAAAAACTGGGAGTGCCCGGAGCTCTTGGGCCACCCACCCTGCTCATCTCTCAGGTTCTGCTGCATCCCAGCTCCTGTCCTCCCTGCCTGCCCAGCTCCAAGTGGCACTCAGGGCATGGCACTGGTGCCACGCTGGCCCCCTTGGCTCAGTCCTGCTCTGCCTCATCTCAGGGCGATCTTTGAACCCTGGTGGCCTGGGCCCAGGACAGCTGGTGGCTGTCACTGGGGTGACACGTCACTGGCACGGGTCTG